AAGAAAGAAGATATTTGCCATGTAAATTCCTTGTGCTCCGAGGCTCCATTTCCAATCTTATGTTCTCTAGTGTTTTCAGTGCACTCCCGTCGCTAGCATCTATAGTCTAGGGACAATCGCACAAATAGGACTTTCAGGGGATTCTATAGGGAAATGAAAAATATAAGGGCCAAGGCAGGGGACGACCAAAAGGTTCTAAAGGGAGAAGGGGACAGAGAGAGGATGCCAATGGTAAAGGGGAAAGCAAAGACACTTCAGAGGGTTCAAAAGAATAGCGACTCAAAACTCACGAGATGCAAACTAAATYCTTYTCCKCTGAMGACAGTTTAGTTATATGGTAATGCATTCGAAATTTGATAAAAAATAAATAACTTGGAATCATTATTTTCCTTCTAGTCTAGTACAAAAAATCTCGTACGTTTCTCAACTGTGACGGTGAGCCTTGGCACTAGTTACAATCGATRCAAGTYAAACTCTTTCCACCGGCATTGGAATCCTACAGATGAGCCATGCCAATCGAGCGAAATGAAAGAAAAGCTTGGTACACTGATCAGGCGTGACACGAACGCACTGCGCATGTCCACAGCCTTCCCGCCAGTTAGCGCTCGCGTCAAACAGAGCGCCTGGCGATTTACAGCGACAACACAGAAAACACTACGAAAAACCTCATTTTCTCAAAATAGAAATAACAAGATAAAAATAGAAACWACATACTAAAAKRAYMTRWCATGAACAWWGATTGATGGAAATATGAATCTTATATATCGGTGAACGAGCTTATAAATTGTAAAAAACTTTCACAAAAATCGCTTTCAAAGAAAATTAGGCAGATTTCAGCGGGGAAGCTGTGGACAAGCGCAGTGCGTTTTTCACCAGTGTGGTCAGGAGTAGTAATATAGAATAGAAAAGGCTAAAGTCCAAGCCTGAACCTACCTGCTGCTAAGATACGATGCTTATTATTTGGTTGTTTACAATGGACATGAACAAAATCGTACTCTGACTGCAAACTAGTAAAACGATCTACCAGCTCAAATTTGTTACGTGAAAACAAAATGGCGACTGGATTTTGAAATCTTAGCGTAGAAACAAAGCTAAAAAAATTACTAACTAAAATGAACTAGCTCTGAACAAATTATAGTCCCCTATGAGATAAAAAGCATATAGTCCTCCGACTCAATTAGAATAAGATGAGCAGCTCGGTGCGGTTTTAAAACGAAATCAAAAATTTCTTTTCAATGGGGAGGGCTGTATTATTAGGAGCATGAATTAAAAAAATAATAGTTCAGGTATGTAACCATTTATAGACAAAATAGCTAATAAGTGACATAATAATAAACGGAAAATAAAGTCTAAAGGAAATAATCTTGAGATACGTATGCCTGCACACAGATTAAAAAGGTTCCCCTAAAATCACTTCTTTTGAGTAAAATTCGCTGCCATAGTCCGTTGGCTCTTTCTGACCGATTTCTTTTGAGTTGCTTTCTTAGAATTGTCACTAGCGAAGTCTTTGGAGTCTTTTGATTGGCTTTCTTCAGGAATAAGAGATTGGCAGCTTCCGGGAACGTTATTTAGGTCGTGTTCAGTAATTCCATCTAATGAATTGATCGACGGGGTCCCATCTTGTGAAGCACCTTTCTGTTGAGAACCTTTTGATTCGAAACTAGAAGGAGTCATTAAAATCGTCATGGGAGGGGAGGTTGGGGGGACTTTGTCCTGTAATATGTCTGTTATTTTAGACGGTGTACTGGCTTCTGAATTCTTTTCAAGCTCTGTTTTTTCGGTTGATTCATTTTGGGATGATTCTGCTTTAACCGGCAGGTTTCTCCGCGTTACCTGAAACATGAATGACAGAAAATTATATATGTGATTCATAAATCATGGAATCAATGGATAACAAATCGATAGATATGATTTCGTTGCTCTTTACTTACCTGCATTGGGATAAATGGAGATTTTGTAGGATCAAGAGATTTGCTAGCTGAAGGTGACATAGCAGGTGGTGCAGTGGCGGCTCTCTGATCTACATGACCGTGTGGCAATCTCATTATCTGGTTAGGGCTGAATGCCTGTTGCACATGCATCATAGGCGGTGGTGGAAATGAAGGGTGGAGAGGGAAAGGCTGGCCAGGCATTCTATGCATGGCCAAGGGTTGTCCCATTCGGTTCTATAAACATGGATGTAAGTATTAATTATCGTTTATACATTGGCATGCAAGCCCTTACATGCCCATCCCATTGCTTTGCCCCCTTGAAACAGATACTTTAGCTTCAGATGCAATGGTTTCTTGGATATTGGATGATGTATATGTATCTGTYTATAACATTGTATTACTTACTAAAACGGAAAGCGCGATAGCGCATGCACTCTCAGTTGCCTCCATTTGATCCCTGCAAAGAGTTCCGTTGAACTTCTGCCCGTTGGCGAGCTCTACAGTAGCAAAAATCCCTCCCTGAGAAAAAGAAATATAAATTCAGATTCAAACAGTGTAGATGTTTTTTTTTGTGCGTTAATAAATCCATATTTTAACACGACTTTAAGTCACAATGTAAACATTTGTAATAGAAAAACGAGTATCAGCTTGTGCAAGTGTTAGAAGTACATTCAAGTAAGCATCGTAAGTCAAATAACTTTTAATATGTGCTGTCTATTCCTTCTCTGCGTTAATAAATCCATATTTTAACACGACTTTAAGTCACAATGTAAAMATTTGTAATAGAAAAACGAGTATCAGCTTGTGCAAGTGTTAGAAGTACATTCAAGTAAGCATCGTAAGTCAAATAACTTTTAATATGTGCTGTCTATTCCTTCTCTGGGAAGCTGATCCCGTTAGGTGGTCAATTTCAGCCACGTTATTCCCGAGTTTGAAAGAAGGGACAAAGGTGTTTGGCAAAGTGGCAACTTTGGGCATACAGCTGTGTAATTTAAGATGCTTGGGGGGTAAGCCAACASTGCGACTAHTATTAAAGGCAAACTGAKTGATCAGGTAACAAWCAACTACTGACTTACTTGRGGTCCTTGACCATAGTAAAACCGAGGTAGTGGTTGACCTCTCGATACGCAGAGGTTCACGAGAACTTGAGAGGGTAGGGGTCTGAGAAAAATCAACGCTGTGTTATTTGGTTTTGCGATTACTTTTAAAGTGTGCATGATTTTAACTAAGTTTTTTTTTGAGATTGTCATTAAGACTTTGCTTCAAAAGGAAAGAGATTAAAAGGACATGGTCCACTAGCATGCAATGCGGTCGTGTTTTAGATTTTCATATATGGAAAATGAGATGACTTCGAATATCCATTTGCAATCCGTTTCCATCCATCGGTTTAACGGTCGAATCTTAAAGCATCTCCATTCATATAGGATAAAGGAACAATAAAAAGTAAGTTTTTGTTTATATTACGATGTATTTCTATTTTCAAACATAAACAAAAGCTCGAAAGGGATGCTGGTGGACCATGTCCCTTTAAAAGGCACCACAGAAGACARGAGGGTAAGAACGGAGCTCTAAAAGTAAAGGGAAAGTAAGGGGGAGGAAAGAGAAAAGGGTTAAAAAAACGAAAACAAGGAAAGAAGAATGAAAGAAAAGGAGGGAGGGAGCTTTAGGAGAGGAGCGAGGGGACAAAGAAGAAGATTAAAGCCCTGTTTACATGAGATAGGGTGCCCCTAGGTGTAGAGTCAAACTCTTTTGTTTTCAATCCTCCAGAGAAAAGAAAACAAAGGAGTTAGCCCTGCCACGTAGGGGAACCCTATCTCATGTAAACAGGTCCTACGAAAGGCAGACGGAAGAGACATACCCTGAACTGATTGGCGGTCGATTCATAGGTACAGAAGGAGCTTTTGCCACTGGTACAGCTAAAACGAAGAGGCAATGYGAGTTGATACACTAGATAATATTAGACAAGAAGGGAAACTAAAAAACATTTGCAGCTAAAAGATATAAAAAAAAAATAAACAAACGAACACTACCTTGGGTTTTGAATAGCTCCTCAACCGATAGCGACCTTCCTTCTCCCTGACTTTCTTGATCGGCTGATTTTCCTTCGTTAGCTGGATGATTTTGAGCCGGTTCTTCTTTACTTTCCGATGGAGAATGTCGACCTATTTTCAGCAGGTCACATAAGGCCTGGGTTTTTTCCTTAATAAAAAACAGCTTAGTTAGACCGATTCAATATAAGCTACACAATATCGAAAACGAAATCGAAATCTAAGCAACACAATACACCAAAACCCAAAACCCAATCCAAACCTAAACCTAACTAGAACAAACCAAAACCCAACCCAACCCAACCCAACCCAACCCAACCCAACCCAACCCAAACCCAACCAAACAAAAACCCAACACAAACCAAACCAAAATCTAACTAGAACAAACCAAACCAAAACCAACCCAACCAAAATCAAAACTTAACTAGAACAAAGGAAACCCAACCCAACCAGAAATCTCTGGAATCGTGTCGAGACTAAAAACAACCAATGGGTATAAGGATAATTTGMTTTCTCTTTCTTGTCTCGCTCTAGATACGACAAAATATAACAATGTCTAACTTTCTGATCTATGTCGTTCATATCAGTTCTACTGCCATCCCCAGATTTCGTGATTTCATTCTTTTCCACTTCGTCTTTGGGTTCCTTCTCTTTGACAGCGTTGGACGGTGGACTGTTCTCCTTCATCTTAAGTTCTTTCCACATGCTTGCAAACTCACTCGAGTTTCCTTGTGGTTGTACATTATCCTAGCAAAATGTATCAAAATGTCTCTGTCCTCTGATATAGACATGGTGTGAGAAAGCTAAACACGAGAGAAGCTAGCTTAGGAAGACGAGCGTAGCGAGTGTTTCTCTTGGTTCTCGAGTGTTTTTCAACTCTTACTTTGTTTATATCAGAGGTCAGAGACACAAGCGGCCGTTTTATATTTCTTTTATAAACTTTTTCGAGCGAAAATACAATTTTGCCGGTAAGCCGTCTCTGTCCTAAGCACGGTCGTCAGCCAATCAGAGCGCGCGTTATATATCAAAACTTTTATAAATAAGAATATCGAAGCGAATCCTGGGTGTATAATCTAAAGCGCGCTAAAAATGTACACGCGAAAGTTTTCAGGTTTTACTCGTAGTCTAATGCATTCTACCCTTTGCTTTAAAGACTAACTTGAATCCGACAGTCTTTGAGTTCGTTTACTTTGTTCTTGAAAACGATCTGTTATTGACTGTTTCTTTTTGATTGGTTCAAAATCAAAGATGACGATTTTTTCATATGTGGACAAAAATGCACAAAGGTTCTTGGGAGCATGCGGGCTTTTAAAAGTACAAGAAAAATAAAAAAAATAACTTGTAACACAAAATTACCTTGATGACTTCACGCTTTCCTGCATTTCTATATTTAAAGGAATAAATATGGAAACGATTATTAGATAACAAATGACCGTGTTGCAAGTTGGTTTGTCCGGGATAAAAAAGAACAATAGATTTGACGATAACGAGAGTACAAGTACATACATACATTTTAATACTCAAACTAGCACTCGTACTCAATCTCGCACATGTCAAAGCTAAACTCCATAATAAACCTCGAAACTACAACGACGCGTGAAAACTCTTTTATTGTAAYAATTTATATCCAATGAGGCATACTTACGTTCTCTTTGAGTCACTATTGGCCTGTGATGTGGTCAGTTTGTTTGGCGGTGTTGCAATTCGAGTTACTATTACCGCTGGGCTGCTTGCAGGCTCTCTAGGTGGTTTTCGGTTATTAAACGAGCCTTGTGGAATAAGAATTTTAACGAACCCTTTACATCACAAATAACATAATAATATTTTTGATTTTTTTAACCAAATTTATTTGATTTTAACTCAATCTTTATAGAATAAAAAGTAAAATTTCATGAGAAGAAAATTAAAAATGGCGGAAAAATTATAATTATTATCATTTTTTTTACAAAACTCTTTTCCTCTAAGCTTAATAATCTAAACTTTAGAACTACGATGTGAAAGCATCATTCTAGCACAAAAGAAAACGCCATTCCATACCGCAGAAGAATAACGAAGGATGACTTAGCTTTGAGATATAACTCACTTTGTGGGGATCCGTGGCGAGCATGGCGACCAGTCCGAGGAGATTCTCCATTAGATTTATTACGATGTGGACTCCCATCTTTCTTTGAGCGGCCTTCGCCAGCAAGAGCATTCGCGAAAGATTTGTTCAGTGGTCTTGGGGGTGGAACTGGTTGACCTCGTTTCTTAGCTTCCCGTCGCTCTCCATAAGATAAGTCTATGAAGGATGATGGCCGGACAAGATAGATGCTTTTTGATGTACGTCTGTGGACGGATTGAGGTTAAACATTAAAGAACACACATTAAAGGACGTGGTGTCAATTAGTCCCATACAAACATATGCACTTGGACGGTGCTGTTTCATTATCGCATCCATCAGACTGAAGATTGCAAATGAACTATCAACCCGTAGTCCATGTCAAGGTCACTTCGTGGTCAGATTATCTAATTCAAATGTTATACACCCTTTTAATAAGTCCCGAGATTTTGTGTTCTCCGCACTTGACGTCAAATTTATTCTTTTGAATTCCTTTTGTATTGTAAAAATTTCAAAAGAATAAATTTGACGTCAAGTGCGGAGAACACAAAACCTCGGGACTTATTAAAAGGGTGTATAGTAACTTTCCATTTTGCTCTTTGTTTTCAAATTGAAAGTCAAATCTTTGTAATTATTTTGAAGTGACTTATTGTGTATTACATGTCCAAGCTTTGTCCCAATAACGAAGACCTTTACTTTCGAAAGAGGCCTCTAATTACACGACTTTGTTACGACTCATATTTATCTGACACTGTGATTTCAGATTTCAATAATTATTCCTGTAGTGATATATTTGGGAGAAGCCTATGTTCAGAGATGCGTGCTGATTCGCGAGAGAAATAGCATATTCCTTTCACGCTTCGATAAAATTTCGTGTTAGTAGCTCATTGACGAATACCCTTAGATCCTCGCCACATTCAAGGATGATTTCAGAAATTATCGCCNTCATGAGAAGAAAATTAAAAATGGCGGAAAAATTATAATTATTATCATTTTTTTTACAAAACTCTTTTCCTCTAAGCTTAATAATCTAAACTTTAGAACTACGATGTGAAAGCATCATTCTAGCACAAAAGAAAACGCCATTCCATACCGCAGAAGAATAACGAAGGATGACTTAGCTTTGAGATATAACTCACTTTGTGGGGATCCGTGGCGAGCATGGCGACCAGTCCGAGGAGATTCTCCATTAGATTTATTACGATGTGGACTCCCATCTTTCTTTGAGCGGCCTTCGCCAGCAAGAGCATTCGCGAAAGATTTGTTCAGTGGTCTTGGGGGTGGAACTGGTTGACCTCGTTTCTTAGCTTCCCGTCGCTCTCCATAAGATAAGTCTATGAAGGATGATGGCCGGACAAGATAGATGCTTTTTGATGTACGTCTGTGGACGGATTGAGGTTAAACATTAAAGAACACACATTAAAGGACGTGGTGTCAATTAGTCCCATACAAACATATGCACTTGGACGGTGCTGTTTCATTATCGCATCCATCAGACTGAAGATTGCAAATGAACTATCAACCCGTAGTCCATGTCAAGGTCACTTCGTGGTCAGATTATCTAATTCAAATGTTATACACCCTTTTAATAAGTCCCGAGGTATTGCGTTCTCCGCACTTGACGTCAAATTTATTCTTGTGAATTCCTTTTGTATTGTAAAAATTTCAAAAGAATAAATTTGACGTCAAGTGCGGAGAACACAAAACCTCGGGACTTATTAAAAGGGTGTATAGTAACTTTCCATTTTGCTCTTTGTTTTCAAATTGAAAGTCAAATCTTTGTAATTATTTTGAAGTGACTTATTGTGTATKACATGTCCAAGCTTTGTCCCWATAACGAAGACCTTTACTTTCGAAAGAGGCCTCTAATTACACGACTTTGTTACGACTCATATTTATCTGACACTGTGATTTCAGATTTCAATAAYTATTCCTGTAGTGATATATTTGGGAGAAGCCTATGTTCAGAGATGCGTGCTGATTCGCGAGAGAAATAGCATATTCCTTTCACGCTTCGATAAAATTTCGTGTTAGTAGCTCATTGACGAATACCCTTAGATCCTCGCCACATTCAAGGATGATTTCAGAAATTATCGCCRGTTTGTTAGCACTTTTTGTAGAAAACTGYACAGGGGTGATCCTATTGGAAAAAATTTACGCTGAAGAAGATCAAGAAAACGAAGAAAGCAGTTTAATTCGAGTTGAAATCGAACACACTCTACACGATTTTAGAAGGTTYRATCAWAAYGATGTGATYTTYCGAGAATATGACCCACCTGTAGACCAAGAGGAGGACCCAAAGGCATGGATGAAAAACATTCCTTCATCAGTCAAAGAATCGATTTTGAAGAGCATTAGAAGTGTATTTGTGATTCAGGCAGTATGTGGATTGTGTATTGGATTATTGGCGATCTTGGTAGTGTGGATMGAAATGAATATGGGTTTYGTGTGCTTTTTTCAGCTCTATAAAGTACCATATAAGATATTAGCAATCAAAGTAACGGCGCGTGCAGTCAAAGGCTTTCTGATTGAACTGTGTCATTATTTTGTTCTTGCTACTGTGTTCTCCTTGGAGCAGTTGAAAAGTCTGTACATTCCTTTCATAAGCGTTATCGCTRGTATTATTGACTTTGTATACGAAATATCCATGTTTTCAGTTGGACTTTGGGATGCTAAGTGGGAGAAATATCCTCTGTATTTTATATTCACTGTCATGATTGTGACTAATAGTACAATTCTTGCCCGACACTACAGACCGTGGCCCTCCAAATGGACACAAACTTTAGCATTGTCGTTCATCTTCTGCGCGCAATTTTTCTTTGGCGTATCRCTCACAGTTTTCTACTGCCATACTCTCTGGCCTTGGTATATTAAGCAAACTGAATACACTAAAGTCATTACTGCAGCTTTGTCTCCTTTGATAACATACTTCCCAAAACTGGTTTGCCGTCTTGCCGCGCAAAAGCTAAGTGACGTCCATCCAGGAAGATCCCACGCCTTTGTCGACGTTATCTATGGAGGAAGCGCTATTATTTATCGAGTTATGCAAGCTGAATTRTCTTCGTTTGCATTRTTTGCTATGCTTGGGGTAATACACGGCTTCCTGGACTTGTTGGAAAGGCTTACAGCRACAATGAGAGATCATATCTGGGAATATTTCTATCAGTTGCTTAGATGTAAAAGAAAGCGAATGTCCAAATATCGATCTCCAAGGAGCCGACGGTTTGTTGCTGACATGAGCATTCAGATATTGTTACAAGAAGGAGCTGGCCTTGTGGTATCTCTTGGTATTATACACCTGTATCAATTCATYTACAGCAATACTAAACCACCTTACACTGACTACACGGTAWTAGCARAYTTTTGTATCCGTGTTCTKACTGGATTGTCCATTGATTTATTTTTCAACACCATCTCAGTTGTGTTACAGACTCGGTACATGAACATTGCYGTCATGARAGTCTGGTCGAAGAAATGGAAACAYCACTGTCTCGTGTTGATCATTGTTACTATAGAAACYATGTTGTTTTTCACGGGTTATTTATTGAATATAATACGATATAAGTACGATTACGAGACACAYCCTGTAGTTCGTTATGCGTGGAATTGTACCATGCCCTTTGCAGACCTGTGAATATCGAGGACTCGCGTTATCTCGAACATTTTCAGTCTTAGTGCACTGTATAAACTGTTAATTTCTTGGACCATAAAATCTCTTTGGTCCGGAAATAGAAATAACTTATTATGTTGTAATTACTTGTAAGAAAACAGGAAAAGGACTGGGTATTAATAGAGCTCACATTCATCCTAGCATTGTGCATAAATCATATGACTAGTCGCTTTTCCCAGTATACTCCAGTTTCGAATTCATAGCGCAAAACCGCTGCTTTATTTGACAACAGATTCTCTTGCGCAAAGACCTTACAAACACAAAAGAGAGCACGAAAAAATATCGTTATTACAATAGACTTGAAAATTTGCATTTTCCCCGAGTTGAGACTTCTGGGAATACAGGGTTAGCCTCAACTCGGGGAAAATGTAAATTGTTAGCGCTATTGTACTTACAACATTTTCCCGTGCTTTCTTTTGTGTTTGGTAAGTTCAAATAGCAATTAACGCTGTAATTGTACTCCTCTCGACCAATCAGAATGTATTATTTTGTTGAATGTACTATAACAGGTTCTTATAAGGGGGTAAATACTGTAGCATCAACGGAGCAATGATAAACCTTACCATATTTTATCTGAATGAAAAGAAAAGGAAAAAGTGTGGGGAAAGGAAGCCATCATCAACAGTTTTTAAACGGTAAAACAGGATTGTGGGTATAATCGRAAATTTGAATAAATTTTTTTTCTGAATATATAAAAATCTGTAAATGAGTATCAATACAGTAAAATTATTTTTTCTTTTATTTACTATTATGAATATCGAGTTTTATCCCGAATCACGCATCAAATTTAAGCTATGTGGTTTAAACTCCGTTATGCTAAATCCAATGTTTTTTAATTAGCATACACTTATGCAGTTTCAGATCAAACCGTAAATACAGTCAACTCTCGCTATTACGGACACCCTCGGGACCGTAATTTAGTGTCCGCAGTATCAAGAGTCCCTTGTAACAAAGTTACTTTCAGTCATTTCTTTGTATTTTTCGCCGTGGATTCTGTATTTTAGTGTCCGCAATACCGAGGTGTCCGTAAGGCGAGAGTTGACTGTTGTCATGAAGAATGACACATTCTAAGCAGCGAGCAATGCGTTACTTGGCTCCTCCTTAGACAACTCTTTTTTTCTCCTTTGGGCTTCCTTTGTAAMGGTCATAATGGCTGCTAGAGGCTCTCATCTCTCGCCCCCATTCTTGCTCTTCTGACTCCCAAAAAAAACAGTAAGCCATAGATTCTAGGATTAGGAGGCTAGTGCGCTAYGTAAGATGACTCGAGACAGCAATGGCCAAAGGAACGATTCATAGAATTTTAAAAATCTTCACTAAAGAATTCACAAACAATTTTACAAGCGCTTGCCTGAAGTCCTAAAACTAAAAAAATTCTTGCATGGACAATATCATCCAACCCCCTCAAAAGTTAAATGGCTCGCCCCCCCTTTTTGCCCCTTATTATGAGCTATTTCGGCAAAACGTTCAAATAAAAATTAAAGATTTGAATCGGCTCACTCTTCATATTTGAACCTCTTGAACGATGATATCCGATGGCAATAACCATCCTAACTATAACACTTGAGCAAAATCGAGTCAATATAGCCAGTCTCCTTTTCGATGTTATTTTAGTGTTCGGATTAACGAGGGTTTACCGTCCAAGAAAGTAACAGTTTATTTAGTTCACYCACACTGAAAATAGAGTGGATTTCGTATGACTGTGCAAGGGCACGGTTCACACCTCCACGGACACGGCACGGCACGATCACGGAACCTCGCCTTCTAGGATTCCAAATGAAAATAAAGATTTAACAATACATCACCGCTACGGCACGGTACGGTCACTACACGAAAATACCGTGTTTTTTTGCACAGCCATACGAAATCCGCTCTAGTAAAGATAACTCGAGCCACTCTTGACATTTACAGGTCTGCAAAGGGCATGGTACAATTCCACGCATAACGAACTACAGGGTGTGTCTCGTAATCGTACTTATATCGTATTATATTCAATAAATAACCCGTGAAAAACAACATGGTTTCTATAGTAACAATGATCAACACGAGACAGTGATGTTTCCATTTCTTCGACCAGACTTTCATGACGGCAATGTTCATGTACCGAGTCTGTAACACAACTGAGATGGTGTTGAAAAATAAATCAATGGACAATCCAGTCAGAACACGGATACAAAAGTTTGCTAATACCGTGTAGTCAGTGTAAGGTGGTTTAGTATTGCTGTANGTGTAGTGTTTCTTCGATTTCATTTTGAATCAAACTACTTTCTTGATCATCTTCAACGTGGCATTTTCTCAATATAGTCACCCCTGTACAGTTTTCTACAACTATTGCAATCAAACAGGCAATGATTTCGGAAATCATCGTTCGAAACCCTCAGAAGCATGTGTGTAAAATGGAACTAAACTGTGTACTTCGGAAGTAGATGTCCAAAATAGTGTATTCCCCTGCTGTGTGAATTTGAGCGCTGATTGGCTGATTAAAAGTTGTCAATAAAGGGACATTAACACTGAGCTGACACCATAACGCCTTATGGGCGCTCAGTTGTAAGAAAAGAATGATTTTCTCATTTTCAGACTAAAACTGTGGTCAAAAAAAGATACAAATTGTGCATGGTTTTTCGTTGTATGTCTTCCTAGTAACAAACTCTTGACGTCATAAAAAGTTCAAACTTTACGATGAACCCACTAGTGCACATGGTTTTTGAACATTTTATGATATTACTAATGACGAGGCCTGTTCGTGTATATAAATGGTAGGTCAGAACCTGATTTGAAACTTAAATTTACTTTACAATGAGTAACATGACTCGGAAGTACGCGCCTAAATTAGTATATCACTATCACGGGTTGACACACATGGCATGGGTGCATTGTTTTTTGTTTTTTTGTTTTACTTTTTTTCAACGAGGCAACTATATTCATGAATATTAATGTTGGCAAGTCGGAAACCATAAATGACTGCTACATAATGGTCCTTGAATAAAAATTCCATCAAAAAAGAACACAATGCATATTTGTTTTTAAGCTCGACACTCGCTGCGCAGCAAACGAACAGTTCTCTACTGGATGTACTTGGTACAGTCACTCTTAAACCACGAAAACGTGTTTTTGAACATCATGGAGAACACTATCTAGAATCAGTATTTATTTTTCGACTTTTTCTGAAAGAGCTGTACATAAATAAGTCAGCAAAATAAGTAACAAAATAAGTGATATGTTACGCCGACCCTGAGTATCTACTGAATACGATTTGGATTGCAGGTTTATGATCTAAATAGCCTTTTAAATTAAAGGCATTCAAGGCTATTGATAAGTAAGAAAATAAAATAGGCAATAAGCAATGTCTAGATAAGCTATCAGGCCTTGAGTAACTTTAGTGAAGTCCTGGCTTTACAAAGCGGAAGTAGACATGTTGGTCTCATTGTCTGATAAAACTAGATGATTTCATCAGCAGACTAGTTGGGGGTTTCCCCCGCCCAATGAGATTTGTAACGACAACGCCATGCAAGGCGGCGAGTAAAGACCAACTCACTACAAAAGCGGAAGGAAAATGTCATACATGTCTGGTAGTAGCTGAAATTCTATTGAAACAACCCGTCAAGTAAACAAAAGGTTGTTTCACTTTCCGAGATTGATATTCAAAAAGTGAATGAGATTATAAATAAACACATTGAAGCAGTTGATGTAGAACCGATATTATTATTCTTAATGAGCAATTAAAGAAACGATTTTAGAATATCGAGTTTCTTTCTGTTCTAGGGGCACAGGGATCCCGTTACAAAAATAGCCTGCGAAGGAGGGTGAGTTACGTTAAGTCATACGTAAGTTCATACGTTAAGTCAGTACGTAAGTTCATACGTTAAGTCAGTACGTAAGCTCATACGTTAAGTCTTACCACTGAGAACCATAAACGTATTGTGATACATTTAAATGTGCGGTTACCGCAATACTTTCGAACCTCTATTGAACGACCCTCTATTCAGCGGTCACCCTCAATTAAGCGGTCACTCATGAATTCCTCAAAAGCCGATTCTCTTCTGTACCATTACATAATATCAAGGCAGTGAGATGTTTCACATCGTCATTACAATGTTGGACCCTGTTAAAACGCTGCATCTTAAATAAAGCGATTTCAATGCAAACGCGACTGACAACAGAGAGAAAAATTGAACAAATTCCGCTGAATTCGTAATCCACAGCAATTCGGCAATAATTTCTGTTTTTTAATGCGTACAAAATAAACAATGTTTGAGCGGATTTCGTATGAGTGGGAAACGGACGGTACTGTACTGTGACCGTAATTGTACTGTAACCAAATTCTAGTGTCTTCACAAAAATTGTTCAGGCCAGGTCCGGTAACTGTGCGGTAACCGTGCGGTAATTTCTACCGTACGTTTCCCACGTATACGAAATTGACTCTACACCAATCTGTAACTCCTGCCAAATCACCACAACCGCCAATACGATTATGGTCGATAATTACGTCATTGATAGTGAGGTCATGATAATAATGAAGGTTGATCATTTCAGACTTACCGTATAGGCTGATTACCAATAAACGATTCGTCAAACATCACTTCTACCATCTCCTCATCATCTTCGCCTGTAATGTGATGAATAGAAACAAAGATTTTAGGTCGATACCAAATTAACTATGGAGACCGATGAACAAACGAAAGGTATCCGAATGACTTACGTNAAAAAAACGAACAGCACCCGAATGCGCTCACGAACGAGCGAACGGGATCCGAACGTACGGACGATCAGAACAAGGCAAGGACCATAAAAAGGCATCCAAATGAACACTAATCACGCAAACGGCACCCAAATAATCAACAAAACAAATTAAATACACAAGAATGAACAACCAAATGCTAGATAGACGAGCGACCGACGGTTAGGACGAGCGCACAAATAGACCGACCACCTAACCGACCACCTAACCGTATGACTGCTGGCGTAAATCAGCAAAATGCCAAAAAAACTGATACATTTTTGTAGACGTACGTACCTTCGTGAAAGCCAACAATAGTCCCTCGCAATCCGAAAGGCACAGCAGAGTTGAGTTTTACGTTGATTACTCGATCAAAGAGTTGGAATTCTGCATTGCTATCGGGTAATATATTGCCAAGATAATCAGACGGCTGTAAAGTACCAAATGTTAATGTCATATATAACCAGTATTATAAAGGGGATATTACATGGACGCGCGGAGATATGGATTTTATCTTTGAGTGTTGAAAAGATCTCTAACGAGTGAGTGCAGCAACATTTTCAACACGAGAGGATAAAATCCGAATCTGCAAGCGACCGTGTAATATTCTGTTTATCATATAATTATATGAAGGCAAAATATGTTTTAGAATAAATCTTACTTACCCTGAAGAGTAGGTACGGTCTTACACGAACTTTGACGGCTTTCGTTCCTGGCGTTTTCTGCTCAATAAATCAAAGACGTCAATAAGTGTGTATTACATGGGATTCCAGTGCATTACCCATGAAGCTTTGAGTAGGCTTAGTAAGACCGTTACCTTTGTTTTCTGTATAGCGTCCTCAATTTCAACCAGTAGTTGGTCATCGAGGACATCACTACCACAAGGCATAGGTTCTTGCTTGGAAATGGGCAGACTTTTGATCCATTCCTGGACTTCTTGCAACATTGTTTCACTTTGAGACGAATTTAAAACATAACTCAAGGTCTTACTAATATCAACAAGCGCGCTTACTTTAAAGTTGCTGGAGTTGCCGAGAACCCAGTCAAAAACTACGAGTGGMAAAAATCTTGGGATGTGCGCACGCGTCATTATTACAATTTGGCGACAAAATTTTCGCGCCGTTTTCTGTAGCCGGTTCTACCATGAAAGATTTGTTATACATTACYTTTAAGTTAAATACACTAACGTTTTAATTTCTTCATAAACTTTTAAGTACTTAATTACAAGAGGATATAAATCGCATTTCCAAGCGACTACGTAATATTCTGTTTATCATATAATTAAATATGAAAGCAAATTATGTCGTGTAATATACTTTTTTACTTCCAATACATAGAGAAACCTCGCGAATGTTATATTTTCACAATTTTTCGAAGGAGAGAGATATAAATAGAAATAGAATATTACATGTTCGCTTGGAGATAATTTTATATTCTCGCGTTGAAAATCTCTCACAAGTTTGCTACGATCACTCGTGAGAGATCTTTAAAAACACTCGAAGAATCCATATGATTCTCCGCAAACGCATGYTATATCCTCCATTTCATAGATAACAATAAGATAACACTTTTTATTGGTGAAAATAAATATAGAGAATAAAACTTACTCAACGTCCCGCGTTAGTAAATCTGTTTCGTATATTTGGTCAAACTGAGTCTCTATTACTCCTAATGTGTCGAACAGACGAGGGAACCTGGAAACCAAAAATAAATACACCATTAATTGATCTATTACTATATTGACAAGTTGACTGATTATTGAATTCATTAGCTGCTTGATTATTTGGTTTATGGATTTAGCTGCAGATAACTTATCGAAGTGACTGAACGAATGAATGATAAGTAATTGAATAAATGATGGATTGCTTTATT